TGCAAACATGATGCCAAAAAGTTAAAAAAAGATTATAACCTGATTTAAGATGAAGAGGGACATGCAACGTAAGTACCTTTAAACACACTATGGACATAATATTTTTTTAAGACTTCACCATTTGCAGCAAAGGGATCTTCAGTAGAGGAATACATTGCTTAATTTAAACAACTCATACTGAAGTATGATTTGTTGGAGCAAGAGGAGAACACCATATCCCACTATCTTGGAGGGCTAGAGTCATCATCAACAATGTGGTACAATTGCAGCGTTATTGGTCCCTATTCGATGTGCAAACCCTAGCTTTGAAGGTGGAGAAACATCATCATCAGCAGGGGACCACCATACATTACAAACATGGCTAAATGTCAGGATCAAGCAGTTAAGAACTTGCCCATTAGAGCACCCAAGCCAACCGCTCGTAAGGAGAAATCAGCTTAGGATGAAGCTCCGGATGAAGAAAAGGCTGGGGCCACCAACATTCCCAAATTTTTTCTAGCCAGAAATTGCTTTAAGTGCCATGATTTTAAATAAAATTTGATTTTCCAAATAATAAGTTGATATTTTTCATTGAGCAGAGAACAGTTGAAGAAATAGACAGTGGCATAGGCGATACGAGTAGGCGATGACACAAAGGAATATTAGTTCCAACTGATATGAGAGAGATCCTTTAGGCTGAGCTCACAAGAGAACATTAGTGATTTTGCCACCATATCTTTCATACTCATTACACTATGAAGAAAAATATTTGCAACCTTATTATAGTCAAAGTCTATTATGAGAATGCAGTTTACTAAATGGTAGACAAGTTGAGCTTGTCCACACAAAAACACACCCATGCTTATTTTCAATTTTAGTTGAATAAGGGGAGTAATATGACAATTGACAAGAGATGTCTCATGGAGTTCTTTAGTGGAGACAAGTTCTAAAAGCAAGTGTGTTATGATGTGGTACCTATGAATGCTTGCCACATCTTATTGGGCTGTTCTTGGCAGTATGACCGTTGCACACCTTATGATATCTACAAGAGACATATATTCCTTCACCAAAAATGGGAAGTGCATCATTCTCTTTACTCTTAGCTTGGAAGGATATTGGGCTGTTCTTGGCAGTATGACCGTTGCACACATCATGATATCTACAAGAGACATATATTCTTTCACCAAATATGGGAAGTGCATCATTCTCTTTACTCTTAGCTTGTCCGAGGATGAAATTCATATAGCTAAGGCACCTGTAAGGCTAGATGTAATGGGCAAAATAGAAGATTTTTTAGGTAGTCTAGTTTTGCATATGCTAATCAGAGAGGCATGCCATATTGCTTTTCTAAAGAATCACCCGACTAAACGACTTTGGAAACATGCATTGACATGACATAAGGCAAAAGAAAGATTCACTCAACTACTTCAAATTGTATTATTTGTATCAGAATTAAGTAACCAGACACCGAACTTTGACATGGACATGTCAGATTTTCTATATGACGAGAAATCAATATCATATGAGAATGCACAAAAATACTTTGTGAAGGATTTATCCCAAAAATTGGATGCTTATGGAACTGGGATGTTCCTTATTCTAACATGAACTTGATGTCTAGTTTACAAATAACGTTAGCATATTAGCATCTTTAGCTGCTCAAGAAGGCAAACATGTTTTTACTTCAACATCTGTTGAGGTTGCTATCATTGCCGTTACTCATGATTTTTTCATAAACCCGGTAGATCTTGCATTTTTCTATTAAAATATTGAGAATCTTGTTGTTGGGGCACCTTTTGGAGTCATGGTCATGGGTCAAATGGCATCTTCTTGTGGTGAAGCCAACAAGCTTCTTGCAATGGTTTGCCAACCTGCAAATGTGAAGGAATTAGTGTTGGTGGTACAGGCTATGGATATGTAAGCATAGTACTTTCATGGGTCAAGATATGATAAAATTTATGCTAGTTTCCTTGTTATCCTGTTCGGTGGAGAACACATTTATACTCATACATGTTGGTGATATTGAATTTGACTAGTACAAAAGGAGAGTATAAATGTGTTCTCCTTGAGTTTGACAAGTACAAAAGGAGAGTACATGTATGAGTATAAATTTTATACTCATACATGTTGATTGTATTTTTCGAGCTGTTTAAAAATGAAGCTTCCTTTGATTGTTTGCGCAAATTCTCACACATAGGTATGAAGCAACATGTGGAAAGAAGCTTCCAGAGTCCTATCTGGACATATATTCTTAGAGAAGTATGATGATCCCAATAATACAATCACTGTCATTGATTCTCCATGGAACTATGCAATTATGACTCCTACCAAACATTAAATCTATGAAAATTTCTGTGTTTAGGCTTTCAAAGCACTTATAAGTGCAGCGACATCTGATGAACAACTTTATGTACAAAGAGAACTAATAGATTAGTGTCACTATATCTACAATGACAATGGACTTGGCTCTGACGGAATAGCAAGCTTGTCAAGTTGGTGCAGAAAATACAATATTGTTGCTTACCCAAATACAAAAATTTATTTTGCAGAAAAATTTTGGAGGTGGTTGAAGGGGTACTGTATGTAGAAGGAATGATATTGCCAAATAGAACACCAAGTGTCACAAGCAGGCCAACAAATCCAAGAAGATTATTATATTCAAGAAAGGGGACTTGGTGTGAAGAAAGAGAGGGTTCCTGCAGGTTCTTTTGGAAAGCTCAAACCTAGAGTTGATAGTCCATTCAGAATCACCAAGAGGATTAATGATAATGATTACAAACTAATCTATCAGGAGACTAGAATATCTTTTCCACATTTAACATCGCCGACTTGGTGCTGTACTATGAGGATTTGGATGCTTTCAGAGAAGAATACAAAGCCTATCTTATTAGGGGAGAGTGATGCCGCTATCTTCACACATACGTGGGACTAGAATCATGATGAGATCACTCCTATAGAGGCCTATAGTAGGAATTTCCCGCTTGTCTTCGGTAGGCTTGTGGGCCTTTTTTTATTATTTAAAGTATAATTAGGATTATTTTTACCTGAGAACTATTTATATGTTAATCTTGGTTTGGCCGCTTTTTGTCTTTTGGTTTATGCAATAGAAGCTGTTTCCTCTAGTTTATTCTTACCAGAGTTTTGTATCCTTAGATCCTTTTAAGGTGGTGTGCTCGTACCTTGATTGGATTGGGGTGGTGACCTCTCTCAGAGATCCGATGATCTTCTATATTGGCCAATGTGCTACCAAACTGCTGTTATGACATGCATTTTACTGTCTAGCTGGCGTTCTTTACCTGTCCTCAACCATGTCATCATCTTCTCTTTCATTTCTTATCCCACAATTAACCTAACCCTTCTCCTAACCTTCCCAAACAATGTAATCACCCTAAATCGGTGTCACATACACAGAATGATTGCTCTGAGCTAGTACGTAAAATGTACAATTAACCTAACCCTTCTCCTAACCTTCCCAAACCATGTAATCACCCTAAATCGGTCTCACATACACAGAATGATTGCTCTGAGTTAGTACGTAAAATGTAAAGCCCAATGACGTAAATTGAGTGCCATTCTAAGCAAGAGTGGTTTAATTATGTGGGATTGTTCCCATATAAAGTTTAGAATCCCATAATTAAAAGAAATCTTTATCTTATGGGTGAAATCTTGTTATTCATATTTTTCTCCCGCCTGAGAAAATATCTAGATTTTTCTCCCAGGAAGAATTTTTACAGAATTCACTTTGATGATCTGAAATGACTGCATCCATATTATATATTTGAGGAATTTAACTGTTGTGTGCTTCTAAATAGAAAAGTTGGCTATTCCTGTCACACTTGTTGGTCTAAGCATTTGAGTGATTTGAAATATTGCAATCACATCGTGTATTTGAGGAATATAAGAATTATTTTTTTCTAGATGGAAAGTTAACTGTTCCTATTATCCTTTCTACTTGATGACGCTTATATATCTGCATTGACTATTACTTCTAATTCATCTACGATTTCTCTTTATCTGTATGGAAGTAAACGAGATCAAACACATTTATGGCTGGATTTGTAGTTTTTAAATGTAATTTTTTATTTTTTCCCCTGCTTTCAGTGAATCCATTACCATGTGCTGAAATTTTGAGATTTGCAAATGGTTGCCATCTATGCTATGTTTCAGCACGCCTCAAGGAAATACCACTGGCTATTGTTGATGAAACTTACCTGATCTTGGTTTACTTGCACTTCAAGTAATCAAAACTATGGGAGTTAATGAAGTGTCTGCTGATCATGTCATATCTGAACTGCTTGATATGGGTTTTGAGTTTGATAAAGCAATTGAAGCTTTGGAAGCTGTTGGTCCAGTTCTCAATGATGCTGTGGACTTCATTTTGAATGATTCTTGCAACAAAAATACATATGGGAAGTCTCAACATGTCTTCACCTATTCCAATACTCAAAACTGTTCCTCGCAGGAAGATGCAAAAATGTCACAATCACTGAGGTGGATGAAGCAATCCCACATCACAGATCATCTCCCATCATTTTCTGGAGGCAAAAGGGACATTTCTGCAAGTTCATCTAAGCATTCATTTCCCAGCATAAAGAAAGCCATTTTGGACGAACACATTACTGTTGATGGAATCAATCAACTCAAATTTGAAACTTTCCCATCTTGGATGGATTGTCATTCTGATATACATGGAAGCTTCCAGTATCAGCAAGTTCCATTCTTTAATAACTCAGATGGTCATGCCATGATGGTAGACTGGGAGCAAAAAGCTAATTTTGCTTTGCGAAAGCATTTTGGATTTTCATCCTTGAAGGGCTTTCAGAAGGAAGCCATCAAAGCATGGTTAGAACACAAGGACTGTCTCATCCTTGCTGCTACTGGCGCAGGTATCTCTTGTTTTTTTCTATATACATTCAGTTGTTGTTCTACTTAATTAATTAATTTCAGAATGACTGCACATTGAAAGCTAAATAACATAAATTTTGATTCAACGACATCACTCATTGTGCAGGGAAATCCCTTTGTTTTCAGATTCCAGCATTATTATCTGGGAAGATTGTAGTTGTCATTTCACCTTTGATAAGTTTGATGCATGATCAATGTTCAAAACTTGAAAAAAATGGGATACCAGCATGCTTTCTAGGATCTGGACAACCTGACAGTACAGTTGAGCGGAAAGCTCTGAATGGGGTGTACAGAATAGTTTATGCTTGTCCAGAGACAGTCTTAAGGTGTAAACTTCATTCTTCTGCACATTATTTATAAGAGAAATTTACATACGCAGCACACAATTCTCAAGTATTTACATATAACATATCTCACACCTAATCTTTCATATTTAGAGACGTAGCACTTTGCTGCTTTAAACCTATTCATGAAAATGTGAATTTAACTTTTAAAAAATGGTAATAGTGCTATATTTGATGTGATATTAATGATTTGAGTGCTATGCTTGTAAATATGAAAGTTTAGGCGTGATATATGTAAATATACAAGAGTGCGTGCTATGTTTGTAAATGCACCCTATTTATAATTGTAAACTACAACAGTTTTTTTACTTACTGATTTTTTTCGTACTGCAGACTTATAGTGCCACTTATGAATCTTGCAGAAAAGAATATGATAGCACTCTTTGCCATTGATGAAGTTCATTGTGTTTCTAAGTGGGGACATGACTTCCGCCCTGATTACAGGTTTATTTTTCATTATAGCTCAAAATTTTACTTTTCTTTCAGTCACAATTATCCATTGCCTAGGATTTGTAGCACTCTCTGGGATGATATTACTCTTCTTTCATCATGTATATTTGCAATGTTAAAGATGGTGGGCTATAGTAAGATTTATTTTGTTTTCTTATCAGGTGTTTGTCCGTGCTAAGAGAAAACTTTAGCGTCTCTCATATCAAGTCGCTGAGGTTTGATATTCCATTGATGGCATTAACTGCTACTGCAACTCTTAGTGTTCGAGAAGACGTTATGAAGTCACTGCTCATGTCTAAAGAAACAAAAGTTGTTCTGACAACTTTCTTCAGACCTAACCTGCGGTTTTCTGTAAGATTTTATGCCGCGGGCTTGTAGCAATAGAGATATTGCATGCAAGCACTACTGTAACCCATAAAGGCTTACCGATTATAACCTTTTCTTTGTTTAACTGAAATGCACATTTTATTTACTGTGTTTTGTCTTATTTCACTTTTGTAGCTGAATAAATGCATTTCACATTGGAAGTGGTTAAGTTTGATTATTTTTGGTGGAAGATTTAACCTCAAAGGTGATGTCATTGATTGGACACAGAATTTTGACCAATAAAGAAGAAGAGAAGTTGGGAAATGGACGGAGAATATGATAGAGATTGCAAATAGGAGAAATGACAATTGTCACTCCTCCTGCAAGACCATAGTGGATGATTGTCATGAAATTGCTTTCAACCATTACGGACTACTAAATTATGTGAGATGCAATGAACCTGCAGATCTAGTGTGGTTGGGTGCTGCAAAACCGTAGTCATACTTTCTCCTTCAGTCTGGACTTTAGAGGGATTGGTTGTACTATTTGGTACTACGTAAATTTGGTACTTATAGAACTCCACTAGTTTGGATCCCCTTGGTTGAAATTGGGCAGCTAAGGAGGGTAGAATAAGAATAACAAACATTTGCCAGGAGAATAACAAACATTTGACCATGAAAGACAACTGAGGGAGATGTAGAGAACCCGTGGATCTGGGGTTGCTAGTCCATTGGCTATAAAGCATTAGCTGAACTCTCTTCATTTCTTTGGACCTTTTGAGGGATTGGTCAATGGTCATTCAGAGAATGGATGACTAAGAAACTTTGGTTGGCTACTTCAACATGGTGAAGAACTTTTCAGGTCTCACCACCCTCTTATAAAATTTTTCTTTCAGCCTGAGCGGTACTTTTCTATCACACAAACGGCCCGAAGCATTTCTCCATCATAGATATAAATTGACCAACAAGTAACAAAAAAGTAATGGGAATGGCTTGAGGAAATGATAGAAAATTATCAAGAGGACAAGATAAAAACTATCATTATACATTCATAATCAGCAGGATCGAGGTAATCAAGCGTTGTAAATCTAAAAAAGGTTCAACAAGGCCACTTTTATTAGTATATTTTGTTAACCCTAAAATCTTGTAAACTTCTTGCCAAAGCCACTTAAATCTATTTGCCTTTATGCTTCTATGAAATTTGACTAGTGAAGTCGCCAAATTCACCAAAGCTACTAGCTTACTCAGAGTGACTTTGTTTGAAAACTTGCTAAGATAACTCATTGTAGAATTCACAATAATGATTAATGCTCAAGAGCTCTTCAGATGAAGTCATCCTCAAGTTAACGGCCATCAAAAGTGGCTCAATTCTAGGGCAGGTGTTGGTCTTTTTTTTTTTTTTCATTCCAACAAACATTAATAAGTTTTTCTATATAATTTTACTTGCATTACTTAATTATATCTATTTTTGTAATGTTGAATCTCAAACTAAATCTTTACCTATGAGGTTAAAGTATGGTTGAATCTCAAACTAAATCTTTACCTATGAGGTTAGAGTATGAACTCAACTCAATTTAACATGTTGATGCCACATCAGTTGTACTCTCTGAAAAAATATAATAATTTCCTTATAGTATCCTACTTTCTTTCTTTTCCTTCTTTTTTAGGTCTGAATAGTGTTTGTTAGTAAGTTTCTAGTGTCACCTAAGGACATTCAGATCTAACATCTATGAACATTGAAGATGTTAATGCTATGAACATTGAAGACGTTAATGACAGGAACCTAACTCATGGCGTGTCCTAATGAAAGGAAAGTTTCTAGTTGAGCACCAATCAGATGGAGGATCGTTGGACAAGAATGATTCAGAGAAATCCTGTGCAATTTCTAAGAGTCTCTCCTCATTTTGGGTCTCTATAAGAGCAATGATTTTCTATTTCTTTTGTCCATTGTTGATCGTTGAGTTTCAAATCTCTTGCCTCTACACTATCAATTAATTAGACTTATTGAAAGAAAGTAGTGTTAAGACATCGCTTTCTATTGTCCCATGAAGTGCAAACCCCAACCTTCAAATGCATTATCTGTTGAAATTTTAGAGGCATAATTTTCTCTAAAGTTCAAAACACCCCACCTTGACTTGTGAAGAGCATTGTTGAACCCTGTTGACTGTATAATATACTTTGAATCGGCAACTTCTCTCTTAAATATCAATAATGCGTTCAAATTCCTGTTATTCTTTACTAATTTCAAGGCGGTGCATTGAAATGGTTCTTGCATCTCCTAATGGAGAGTATTCTCTTCTACTTGAAATTCTAGAGATAATTTGTGTCTCAATTTGTTAGTGTCCTAGTGCCATTGAAAATTCTCAAGCTCTTTTATATGAGATTGGTATGTTCAATCAGTCAAAATTTTATAGTTTGATTCCAATGTGTAATGCTTGAAGTGAAAAGACTTAAAAGCATCATTATCCCAATGTATGTTGACTTGGGGATTTTGTGAGGGCCCATTTAGATGCTATTATGTTTGCAACAACAATTACATTGGATGAGTTACTTGAACTCATCAACAATCTTATTAATGCTGAGTATAATAATATTTCTACCACCTCATTCTCGACCACTTGACTCTGGCATAAATAAGATTTTTCAGCCAGCTGGCTCCCCCTAGCCTCATGTCACAAAATTTTTATAAGGATGGGAGAGTTAGACTAATCTGCAAAATTCCTCATGTCACAAAATTTTTATAAGGATGGGAGAGTTGTAATACCCAATTTTGAGAAATTCTGTAAAAATTTTAGCACTTGAAAAATAAATCTTAAATTTTGTATCCCAAAATTCAACCGAATTAATTTTATAAGATTCTACCTATCGAATTGATCAATATGATCTACATCACTAAGCATACAATTTTAAGGTATGAGAAGCTATAAATTATGAAGTTATAATTTTAATTAGTACTTTAATTTAATTATTCTCCATAATCCAGGAGTGTAGTTGCCGACTCTTTTTCGCGACATGCAACCTTGGGGCGGATCAAGCAATTGAGATTAATTAGGGTCACCTTAAATTGCCGCATTTCTCTCATTTTTTTTGCTCCCTCATAGGATTTCGCGGACCTATTGGGTTCTGTGACTCTATCCTTGTAGCTAGAGCGGAAACTAGTGACCACAGAGTGCCGCAACTCACGAATGGAAGTTTCGGGGAGATTTTGGTAAAAGAAATTCCATTTTTATAATATTCTAGACATTCCTTTCTTTTCTTTCACTTTCATTTTGACGCTTGCCACGAATCGATGCATTTTTTGTTTTTGGTCGCTGTGGCTAGAGGCGAGCTTTTGTCAGAGATTATGAACTTGGTTTGTAGGCTTCCGTGTGGGCAACTAGCAGAAAATCTACAAAGTAAAGAGATGAAGGGAAGCTTGGGGAGGAGGAAGAGAGGATTTGAAGTAACTTGTAGAGGGAAAATTCAGAAAATTCATGCAAGACAACCAATTTGAGGTAAATATTGACACTTATGTATCTGTTAAATTAAGACTTGAGATAAGAATTTATGAATATCTTAAATATCCTAAGAGGTTTATGAATTTCAGGTTATTTACACTAGACAATGAGCTCGAGCCAAGCGTGACGAAATTTATTGTAGAGCTGCTCCATTAATTCAGGTGAAATAATTATGTGCTAACTTAAGGAAAATAACTATATGTATGTTTTTATGTGAAGTGTTTGACATTATTGCATTTAAAATTTTTGCATAACTTGATTTGTCTCTTAAGATACATATGATTTTACTATGCTATGAATATGAGAAGTATGTTTATGAAATTATTGCTTACAGTTATTTATTTACAATGATTTATGTATATGATATATAAAATATCTATGATGAATGTTTATTACATAAATTGCGATTTAAGAAACGTTATAAGTGATGTTATAAGGAGGCTATTTCATGAATACTTATAGGTATAGATGATAGAGAACGATTGAGATTCTCGACTCCTGCATTCAGACGAAGACGAAACTCTGGGGACTGTTGGGATCAAAAGAGGTTAGAATGTAGAGAACTGTTGGTACCAGTGCAACTATTGATAACTGCTATGTTGGGAGATGCCCTATCTTTAACAATAGTTGATGTAAGCTTCGGGCTGGGTGACAACCTATGATATAATATGACATGAAAATAGTTGAGGCTGTACAATTACAAGTAATATTTATATGATTAGATTGATGACTCTTATAAATATGCTTATGAGTACACAATAATAGATGAAATTCATGTTTTATACAACAGTAACAATTCTCTGCATTGGATGCATTTTATTTTACATAATTTATACAATTTTAGCATGTTATGTCATGAATTGTGGACATACATGTACGTAAGTTACATTTGAGCACACATTTTTTTGTCATTTTATAAAATTTTATTTTAGCCTTGACATAATTTATACAATTTTAGCATGTTATGTCATGAGCTGTGGACATACATGTACGCAAGTTACATTTGAGCACACATTTTTTGTCGTTTTATAAAATTTTATTTTAGCCTTTATTATTTCACCGAGCTTAATGTAGCTTACTATATGTTTTTGACTTCTGAAAGAGTAATGAGCACCAAGGCAAGCAGCCATGTGTGGCATGCAAAACTTTTGCATTTCATATTTTTGGGAGATTGTATAGAATTTTGACCGCATATTTTTATTATGTTGAATTTAATAACTGTTTGTGTGTGTGTGTGTAATATGATTTTTCACACTTTTGAGTATATGTGAATGTGAATGAATTATAAATTATGAAATGAAATGTTTCAAGTGAGGGTCTGTTTGGAATCAGTTTATGTTTTCTATTTATATTTCTGTTTTTAGTCTGTTGTGTTTTTTTTTTGTTTTTAATTTCTGTTTTTAGAAAATGTGTTTGGTATTGACATGATTTATATGTTTTAAAAGACAAAAAAATATAAACCATGTTTGATTGAGTATTTTTTATTTTTTTTAAAAGAAAAAATTATACTTTTTATAAAATCGTTGGGTCTATGTGCGCTTCAGTATTA